TTTTGACGTCTTATCTGTGATATGCAGGCTTCATAACCTCTGATCCCCTTTCAAAATTCAATTTTAATTAGTTCCGCCCATTGTTTTCTCGTTTAGGGCACACGCTTTTTATTACTTGGGGACCATACGCCGCTTTTCATGGAATGGCACGGACGTGTCACATTGAAGGTTCCATGATAACCGCCGTATGAACACATCTGCGGATGTTTCTAAATTCAAAATTTTACTATTTCATGTTTAAATGTTGAATTCTGCTTAAGCCGGTGCTAGGGGGCGTGGACGGTAACTTGCACTTTTCAGTACCGTCCATGAACAGGCTCAATCAAACCGAGCCTGCAACATTTTCAATTTTGTCGTGTTGGGCTTTCTTTAGGGATTCTGTATTTATCTAATTTAGTTTAACAGCTTATCTCTATACTAAAAGCCGGATTCCGAATATCGTTGTGGTCTACATTAATGTCAATTGTATTTTTTTTCATTTGTTTTTGTTATTTATCTTAGATTTTTTTTTATAGTTTTCACTGTATATTCATTTTTATTTATAATGCATTGTTTATTGTTTCGTTATTTACCTGTTATGTCAAACCTTTTTCGTCAGCAGTTTAAGGTGGTGTGTGAGGTATATGTATATATATATATTTTTTAAATGTTCATACAAGAAGAACGTTCCCCAGTAAACGGGTATAAGGATGGGTTATGGTACTGTTGCAAACGATAATCTTATTGATTTTATCCATATTATGTTGATTCATTGCATAGAATGATTGTTTTTACAAAGTGTAACAGTAACCGGATGTTGAAAGCTATCCGATTTTTTGCAATGTAACAATACTGCTATGTCACATGGCCATCTAACTTTTTATGAATACCATGACTTTTCATGGCTAAATAAAACTGATCCTGCAACGTTTTATAATTTTGCTGTTTAGGGCGTTCGTTTTGGTTTCAGGTTTTCTCTATTATAAGGGAAATGAACTCATGTTTACTAAATTGTTAATCTTAGGTATTACAAACTATTATTGCTGTATATATGAATGGCAGTATGTTTTACAAGTTATAAAATAACTTTCTTTCTTAATATATTTTGTTGATAAATAAAATAATGGAAAAATTTACCATTTGTAAGTTCATCAAGAGCATAGTGGGCCTGAGGAGTGAATATTGATAGAATTATTTTTTACTGGCTTTATATCCTTTACACTGGATTTTCCTAGTGTGTTCAGTAAGAACATACAGGTATTCTGCTAAATGAATCCTCTAATCACTATGTGAAGCTAATAATTATTTTTTATTTGTTTGTATTTAAATTGTTAATAAAATAACCTGTGGTAATAATGAAAGGTAGAAAATTATAGATATGCATATAGATGCTCATGTCAATGTATTGAAACAGAGAAAGAATGATATCCTAAAGTTATCAATATTAAACATTTGATGTATATGTTAATAGTGTTTATAAAGTAAAGTCTAATGGAAGGTTGAAAGAGGGACAGTATTTGTAAATGTAAGAGATATGCATTTAATGCGTAGACGTCGACACAACTCAGTCTTGATTATATGATATAGACTATTTGATTTTTTTTAACTTTGTAGAACGTTATGAGAAAAATGAGTTTAATGTTATGTTTGAGGAATGAAACATCATTTTTTTTATCTGATGAAATAAATCATGCTATAAAACAATTAAAGAATAAAAAGTCTGGTGGTTTGGATAATTTGTTTAAGAAATGAAGAAATTGAATTTGTTTGTAACTTACAAGTGGTGAATCTTTAACTACAGCACAAAGTACACTAGCTGGACAAGCTAAAAGATAAATAAGCCAGCATTTGTATAAATTCATATATATAAATCCTAAGCATAAATTTGATCTTTTTGATAAATTAGTAGCTCCTATTCTAAATTATGGAATTAAAATGTGTGGTGTTGCTAAATAAAGATTTGACAACAGACAGGTAACATATACAGTTTTCCAACAAAAATCTTGGAGTTAAAAGGCCTCACAAAATGATTTTCTTTACTTTACAGTGAACTAAGTAGATTTAGTTTTAGTACTGTGCACTATTATAATATCATAAAATACTGGGATAAAGTCGTACATACAAAATAAAATATATACGTATCTTTGTAATGATTATACTTTGCTCAAAATTGATTTTGAAATGCACCGAATAAAGTAAATTGGTGCTCTTTAGTAACAAACCTACTTTGTACACTTGGTTTTTATGATATATGGCTGCAACAAGATATTGGTAAAAGTTTTTTTTCTTTAGTTAAACAAATGTTTAATCCAAGCAGAATTGGCATGATAGATTAGATAAGTCTTGTAAAGCATTGTTTTATCAAACGTTTTCGAATTTCAGGTTTGAACCCTACTTTGAACACTTTGCAAATAATAGATTTTGTCAATCTTTTGTCAGATTAAGAGTTTGGTCACATAGACTGCAATTAGAAGCAGGTCTGGTCAAGCCGGCGACTATACCAGTAAATGAACGATTATGAAACTTTTGTAACGTGTTAGTCGTAGAGTATCATTTTATTACAGAATGCGAGTAATTCGATGAACTATGTAGCTAAATATTGGCGAAAGCTACAATATGTACAAATTTATAGACCTGATCAATAACAAAAGCCAGATGATAGTAAGAATGCTTGGAACTTTCATACACAATGCTTTTAAAAAACGTAACGAAGTTTTATATGATGATTGTTAAAGATCGTTTATGTTTTACAAATATTTATCTAATTTGGTAAATCATGCATTGTCACTTTTTCGTGTTATACAGTTGTTGTATTTTTATAATGGATATTAATGTTGTAAATGTAAATCACAAATAGAAATAACATATAAATCATGTAGATTATCTTTATTTTATGTTCTCTCCAGTCAGTCACCTTTATGTTTCGTTTCGTTGAAAGGTTGACTTTAAAACTGGAGTGATATACATGTTGTAACCTGAAAATTAGTTCAAAATATGTCACTATTGGTAAGGATCAATAAGGTTGAAAAACTTTCTCCTAAGTAAATAATAATTGTAAACAAATATTGCTATAAAGAAATTATTGTCAATTGTATAAACTGTTCGTCATAAAGTTTTGTATATGTATATCTTATGGGCTTTTAAGCCTATAGGTTTTGAATGAAATAAAACTTCTTTATTACTTACTATTTATTACATATTATCTATGACTTGTTACTAATAATTTATTATTTATGTCCCTGCACCCATGATGATGGCTTTTCAAAAACAAAGCATTTACAAGATGTTATCATGTATTTCATATTCTTTATTAGAAATTTAAGGCGATAGAACAATCTTTTTATAACCGATTAATTGATTGACTGTTGTCATCAGTTATCTGTCATGACGAACTGCTCTTCTTCATATCAATTTTCGTAAGTACTTGTAACGTGTTAAGAAAGTGATTATAATACATTTTCAGCCGTGTTTAAATTTCCTTTGTCCATGACTTACTTTAGGCTGCTATAGGCTGTAAACATTTTAGAAAGACAGAGGTTAATAAGTTTTATTCATTATCATATATGATTGTTATGTCAGAAGAAAGTAGTTACAATACATCCTAGATAATTCTATATTTCCTATATCGGTCACTTATTTAAGCTGCTAGGCCTAGATGCAAAAGCTATTAATATCAGACTGCTACATTGCTAACTTGAGTCCACGTTAACTTATCTGTATATTGAAATAGAATAAATATATATTCACATAGCCCGATTTACCAAAAGTCATAACGGTTATATATATACTGCATAAATACGTCAAGATTATTTGACAATTAAACAGGTGGTGTCTACAAGCCGGAGATAACATCCTCTGTTCATATTTCGACAACAATCCTGGTAAATAGAACGAATATTGAGCGAGGTTTGGGGCACCATTAACCGGTTTAAACTCCCCAGCAGTCATAATTATGCTGCTGACCGTTCCAAGGCGGCGCCCCACCCTGTTCCTCAGATGTATGTCTATGTTGTTTCATACTGTTTTGGTGACACTTTTGCTTGTGTCCCTTGTTGTTTTCTTGTCTACGGTAAGTATCTTCCCCATTGCCTCTAGTTTTTATTTCTTTGATTAAACCCCCCCCCCTTCCCCCTGTCTCCTGTCCCCTTCCCTTTTGTGGGCCATTTATTATTTTCTTTGAATTCCTAATGAATTATAAATTATTTATCATTTATGTTTGACCTGTCCGTGCTCTGTCTTTGCCCTGTCCTGTTTTTGTTTGGGGTCCGCCCGGGCTCCTTGCCATTGGTTCTTGTTGCTGGGTCATATGGGGGTTGCGTTCATTGAACGCCGCCTTTCCTTGTTGATCTTGTTTCTCATATTTTGAGCAAATAGGAGTGTGACGAGTACACAAAGGGGCGAAAACACTTCATGTTCCACAAAACATATTAAAACAAATGTAAGAAACGAAAGAAAAAAATGTGTAATACGCTTACAGGATACATTTAACCCATTACTGCATGACCCGTTACAAGTTCAAATTGCTATAAAACTATAAAAACTGATTCAATATCACTCAAACTTGGCACAAGTGTTGACTGGACCATTGCCTTTGTGACAAAATGCTCAGTCTTAAATTTCCTGTTACCATGGCAACGAGGGGACATCTCAAAATTGCCAAAAAATCACTATTTTGCGTTGATTTTTGCATCAATATTGATTTCAGAGTGCTGCAACTTCCCAATGGATTGAGACAGAGTCAAAGGCTTTTCTGCTGGTTGCACGTTTCCTTATGATCGCTCTAGGGTCATTTTTAGCCTCTAACAAGTGCCAAAGTGGAACTCCCGCCCCCTTCAATCCCCCCCCCAACAGATGGGGGCACATGCACCTTCTGGCAAGCCTTCTTTCTGGATAGAAGGCCGCGCCGAAAAAGTGATAACAACATTTCTCAAACAAAAACAAGTGTTGGGGGACTAAATAAGGCATTTTTCAACCATTTGAGAAAACAAAAAGGGGGAAGGGGAAGAGAAAAAGACGTTAAAATGCGTGTATTTAACGTAATGGGTTAAACGCAATGTATTTTGTTTCTTTGTTTATCTGTAGAATTGTACGCCGAATTAAATAGACTTTTGATGTATCCAGTTAACCGGCTGTACTGGATAACTAAGCAGTAATTAGCAATTTCTCCGCAAGTGATCATGATAGACTACTAATTCTGCATGATTTCTACAGACAATATACCATCATGCACAACGTCCGAGGTCATTTGTCACGTGCAAACCCAAGATCACAATGCTCTCTCTAGACTGAGTTAGTCGGTGCCTAATAAAAATGTTGCTTGAAAAAAAAATGTTTATAAAGTTCTAAGTGATATAGAATGACCGATTCTTTGATGAATAATTATATATTTTTCTGGAACACTTTAGCTGTATTAATATATGTTATATCGTAACAAGTATCTCATTCTTGCCAACACTTTCCATGTATAATAATTTTGTTGTTATGTCTAATAATAAATACTTCCACGTAATTATACATTGTATTACAGGCCTTCCGTTATAAACAAATTCACTGAGAAATTGCCCAACAATGTACGGAAACACAATCATTTTACACAGGTTAAAGTTACATTTGGCAAATCACAAGACATTTGATAACTGAACAGGTGAAAGTCAAAAGAAGTTTTTATTCTGCCACAATTCCTCTTAATGTTGTAATTCATTTCTAATGAATAGTAAATAACTCACATAGCGAAACGTAACTGTAACGTTTAGGTTATAAAAAGAGTTGGGCATTCTTTCAATAATTTAGGCAAATTTATAGTGTATTAAATTAAATATTTTCCAATGTCAAATGTTAATCAATATACATTATAACAGTCAATCCTAACAAATATGTAGTCAAATCAATTCAACCTGACAATGAAAAATGAGCATAATGTCACTTTAAGTTTTGAGGTCATTGTAAGATATTTTCACATTCCCTATTAACTTGACAATTTGTTTCAGAGCTAGGGAGCAAGAGCAAACCCTCAACAAAATGAACGGTGCAAATGATAACCCGGATGGACTTATACCAAGTTTACCATTCTGTCGCAGTTTACTTTCAAACTTCTGATTTTTCTGTCAATCATTTTGATTGATGTAGCAGATCTTATCAGTGATTGGCTGCTATTTAAGGACGTCGCTGTCGCAGAGAAGGGATTAGTTTACGGACCACCCGAGGATAGCACACGTCTTGCTCTTTTGGCGTTTTGTATTATAGGTACTCAAACCATTGCATTGGAATTAATAAATTTATGGCGGGATATTTTCAGAGGAAATCCGTGGTTGGATGTTGAATTACTGTCGGCAATAGCGGTATGGCTTGAGGATGTTCCACAGATTGTGATCAATGTCATCATAATAGGCTGTCGGGAAGAAGCCATAAGTTATTTTCAACTGATGAAAGCTTCTGTTGCGGTAGCTGGGGTAATTATTCGGATATTATTTTCCTTGGTCGTTTACTGCGGCAAAAGAGGCATGAACGATCTGAGAAGACTGAAAAAAGACCACAGATCCAGAATTCGTTTCGTTTATAGAATTCTGATGATGTCAGGACTGGTGATAACACTAGGGGGCGCTGCGGTAATTTTTCTTTTCACTCAGTACGAGCGAAATCCGGACGGTAGTTTAAATTTTAAAGTGCCTCATAATTATATTAAAGGTAAGTACGATGATGCGAAATATTTCGAAAATGTCAGTGTTTATTTTAGTCATGAATTGTTTGATTTAGACTCATCTCTGGGCAGATCAACAACAAATAAAAATCTTCTTAGATTGTTTGACATTAACGATATCAGACACGGGCATGGGGTGGACAGAATAATCAAATTGGAATTTGATCAATTGGATATTTCAACAATACAAAAGTTTATCGTATGGGAGAATAACATTACTCAAGAACTGCGTGCCAAAGAGTGCTTTTCTCTAGACAGAACTAAAAAAAACAAAATTTAATCACTCTAGGATCAAATTGTTCATCATATATTTATACTAAAAGTAATCAAATTTTGTTTATATTTCGATTGATACAACCTAACGATCTAAAGCTGATATTTGGAGATATAACGTACAATATTAATTTAAAAAAATTCTAGTGAAACATGTAAACCACCGGATTTTGAAATATAAAATGATATTATAGATTATTCTGAAGTTACATCAGCTGCTTTACATTATTATCGAACTTTAGACGTTTCTAAAAGGACATACAGCCTGATACACACGTCAGATAATAACAGTAAATTCTATAATTCTAAAGATTTACAAGACATAGAAGATGTTTGGAAAACTGGTTTTGTCTATTGTAAAAGTACAGGTCGTCTTGCACCGCATCGGGATAATTCTATCGTTGTACCATGCTTATAGCTAATACATGTATATTATATTTATTATCAAAATAGAGAAAAACGGAATCAAAACGACAAAATTGAAAATGTTGCAGATTCGGTTTTATTGAGCCTGTTCAGGGACGGTACTGGGAAATGCGAGTTACCGTCCACACCCCATAGCACCAGCTTTAGCAGATTTCAACGTTTAAACAAGAAAATGGTGACATCTCAAAGTTAGAAACATCTATACAGCGGTCATCATGGAATCTTCAATGTGAAATGTTCGTGCCATTCCACGAAGAGCAGCGTATTGTCCCCTTGTGAAAGCGTAGGTTCTAAACGGGAATACAATGGGTAGAACTAAACAAAATATAATTTTGAAAGCGGATCAGACGTTATTGAGCCTGCATAACACAGATAAGTTGTCAGAAAACAGTGATCATAAACATGCATCTGTTGATCGCATCATTGACATTGAACTATCAATTGAATAATTGAACTCTGGCAAGATGTATGGTATTAAGATATGAAAAGCAATAGCCGATAATAACGTCAAAACAGAAAGTGTCGGTATGAGATCCGATGTTAAAATAAAACTATAAATTAGAATATACATGTACATTGTATTTGAAAACTCAAACTATGCAATAACTGAACAGGAATTCAACAATTATGAAAATAACAAAATGTACAGTAAGAATTAATACGCTAGCTTGTTAATATGCAAACATTTAAAATACTAAATTCATTTGGTAGTCAATTTTATCAAATATGCATAAATATTCCTATTGATTTTTATTTTTTCTTTAATAAGATTAATAAAACATATCAAATACTCATGATGAGATGCTGATCTTAATTAGGAGACTGCTCATTTTCAACCTTTTCAATGCTTCATAATCAATGCTTCATAACTTATGAAATGTTATTATATTGTATTATATCAAATATGCATAAATATTCCTATTGATTTTTATTTTTTCTTTAATAAGATTAATAAAACATATCAAATACTCATGATGAGATACTGATCTTAATTAGGAGACTGCTCATTTTCAACCTTTTCAATGCTTCATAATCAATGCTTCATAACTTATGAAATGTTTGTCCATTTACTTTGTAATCGTCTTTTTATAAAGTTCATATTTTTTTTAGAATTTTGTAAAATCTTTTTTCAAGTTCAGTGAAAACAACATGTAATTTATCTTGTTTACATATTTTGTTGATTCGTCGCAGAAATCCATTTTAGAAAGATATATATGCAAATTACACAACAGTCGTACATAATTACAGATGTGAATTGACTATTTTTATAACTATATTTTTGTAACTCCTTTTTTCTAACCAGTGATTTCTAAAGATTTATTTCGTTCACTTTGAAGAGTTTGAATATTTATAAAGTGGTGTATATACATTCTAGCACAGTATCGTGGGAACACTTAACTCCTCCTGCAATCATCAAGAGTGGTCAGAATCTTTATTGATTATTCACTTGTTTTATTGCCTATAGATGTAGCGTTAATATCGTCTCTTTGGCCCATCTCTTGGAATGATTTGTTTTCTAAAAGTGTAAACAAAGTCGAACTAGTGTATAAATAAACCACTTTAATAAAACAATTAGTATGTACGTATTAGACCTATAAGTTTTACATTAAAATAACCTCTTATTGGTTATCTGTAAGATGAATTTCTTTAAACAAGACTATAAAGCCTTTTTTTACTTTTTACAATGCTCTATATTTCACCCCTAGCTTAATTAAACTATTTCTAAAAACAAAAATTCAGCGCGTGCAATACGAGAATATAAAAATCTTACATAGGCTGTCGGAACAGACCGGACTATCTAGCTCGAGGGTAACTGTTTATGGAGGTAACGAGGCTCTGTCGAGTTTCCACTGAACAGTTACCCAAGAGTTAGAATTCCCGTCCGTACCGACAGCTAATGTTTTATCTTTTTCTCAATTATTTTCGGAGCAGACATTACGAGATCTTATGTGTTAACTACGCATTTTTTTATAATAGCGTATCAACTTACAAACTTCATTCATAAGGGTAAAATGACGTGATCCTAAGGAAGCAATTCAGTAAATTTAAAGCACGCATTTTTTCTTACAGGTGGTTGAAGACAGGTTTTTTTATCACCGGTGTAAACGGTAGATAATCCTGTCTGATATGCCAGGAAAGCACAGGAGCTGTTTACGATAATATTGCAACATGCTTAACTTACCATCAATATTGTTTAAAGTAACTTCTTGTATGTCCAAATAAGTACCTTCATGTGAGCTGTTATTTTTTGTCTGTAAAGTTTCATAATGGTCGTACCCCCATTGTTATCGTTACCAGTATCCGTATTAGTGGTATTCGTATTTGCGTTTTGTCTGCAAAATACCAACTTACTTTATCAACTTACATTAAATGATAGTTTACACAATAGTTGTACATTAAAACTTTAATCAAACAAGTATAAAGCAACGTTTTATTAGATACATACGGGGGTCCTTACACGACAGAAGAAAGGTTGTATTTCTTTAAGACGTACTCATTGATAACCTTTAGATTATAATGCTATTTCATGTTTAAATAACACTTTCTATGTCACTTCCAATGAAAATAAAATCTGTCTTGAATATTTTTTTCATAATTGTTACCTTGGCTTCCACTATTTACAAATACATACAACTGTATAGTTATTAATCAATTAAACACAAAAGCAAGACCTTGATATCTAATGATCAGCAATTCATTGAAAAGGTTATTCATGGATAATATATAACTTGATATTTACCTTCGATACAAAAAAAAAACGACCAACAACACAATAAGGATGGTGACTACAACAACTGATACTGACACACCTCCAATAAAAGCTACATTTATGCCATGGTCAGAGGATACTGCAAATTGATTAAACGTATTCAATGTGGCCAACTGGGAAACACATGTGGCGGCGTGGCCGAGTGGTTAACGCGTCGGACTAGTAATCTAAGGATTGCTGATCGCGTTGGTTCAAACCCTGTCAGGGGCAAGTCGTTTTTTCCTTGAGCAAGAAACTTTACATTCATTGCTTAGTGCTGGTTAGTTCCAGGAACGGATTCGAGAGTGTTTCAATAAGATTATAGCTTCCAACACAATGGAACTAAAATTAATTTGTATAAACTAACCGGATCCGGAACATGCTATTTTGCGCTCAGGTTAGTCTTTTCAAAATATCGTCTGTTGATACAAACTGATTTATGTGCGATAAAATACAGTTATCTCGTATTGACACAAGCTTCTCGCGCAATAATAATAAGAAAAGAAAAACAACACCTTCATGGTTTATAAGATCAGTCAAAAACATTTTTTTTCTTCAAAAAATGGTAGTCTCTCAATAATTAAAGAATATGAATTTCCTGCTTTCTATCTTATCTAAAATTTGTTGTTTTTTTCTTACTGGTTGATAGAAATATGTGAAAACATGCTACATTAACTAAACAACGTAACTAGGTTGCAGCAAATGTGCGTGTTCCATACCAGATAGCTCATTCGGTATGTTCATATGCGTATTAATATAGATTGTACATGTATCTACAATATTATTTACACATTTGAATTTGACTGTTGATTATTTTCAAGCTACGATTAACATTCTGTAAAGAATATTTACAATGGACTTAACTGGAAGGATGAAGCATATCATATTTGTATATGGTTATTCTTCTAAAACACTTTCCGAACATTTAAGACTATGTATGAAAACCATGTACAAGCATATGTTTACATACGTTATAATTAAATGTTAAAATGAATGCATTTATCTTTTATTGAAAAAGCTGGCAAGGATAGAGAGAGAGAGAGAGAGAGAGAAAGACAGACAAAAAAATTCACTTATTATAAGAAAAATTACATTAATGAAGGATATCATTTAAAATTATCACAATTCAAAATGTAAGGTAATGTAAATAAAAAGTCAGTATCACATTAAGAAATAATCAAGTGCATATTAAGAAAAGATTACATTAAACAAAATTATCACAGTTGTTATGAGTATGTAAGGAAAGAACATGACATAGATTACGCTATTCAAAAAAAAGATAAAGTTTTTTAAAGTCTTAATAACAGATTTAAAACAAATTTCAAAAAAATAAAACAGTAAACCTGAGCCGAAAAATAATTCAATAAAAACATGAAAACATATAAAATTTTCTTGCACTTAAAAGTGACTTTTGATGGCTACCTTTAAACGATGAAATTTGTAAATTTCAGTTATACAAGTTGGAAGACTGTTCCATATTTTAGCACCAATAAAACTAAAAGACTTTGACCCGAAACCTTTAACCTTAGGAAGACAATATCCTCCTTTTTTACTCAGTCTGAGAAACAAAACAATCACTTAAGTACTCTGGGCCATTTGGTTTTTAACCTTAAAAACATGACATAACATAATTTGTTCAACTCTTTTACAAACTGGTAAGCAATTAAGGGATTTAAAATGGGAAGGGCCAATATGAACTCTGGAATCCAGGTTTAGAACAAATCTATTTTGTGTTGTCTGTAATTTATTTTTCAAGACCTGAGTTAAACCATTATACCAGACACAGCAGGCATAGCCAAAGTGGCACTGAATTAAGGAATTGACAAGCAGTTTTTTGGTATGCTGTGTAAGGAAATCTTTCTTACGGTAAAGGTACTTTAACCTGGAGTCTTCCATGTAACCAAAGGACAGGTACTAATCAATCAATACCCCAAGATATTTGATGGATGTGGATACTTCTATTGCAGTGTCATTACAATTTATGTTTAATTTGGAATGTGACCTGAGTTTTTGTTTAGACCCAAACACAATGGACTCAGTTTTACCTAAGTGCAACGATAACTTATAATCAATTAACCATTGACTTACTGAGGACAAATCTTCAGATACAGAAATTTCCACCTCAGATAATTTTTTTCCAGAAACAAGTATTCCAGACTCAGCAGCATATAGCAATAGTCTAGTTTTCGCTACCGCTGACATGTCATTGACGTAAATTAAAAAGAGGAGGGGCCCAAGGATTGAACCCTGGGAAACACCACATGTTATACTTGAAGTGGAAGAAAAACTACCTGACACATCAACAAGCTGTTGTCTCTCAGAAATATATGACCTAAACCACCTTATGATGTCATCAACAAGACCAGACGCTTGAAGCTTCATTAAGACAATGGAATAGGTTAAAGTGTCAACGGCTTTCTGTAAGTCTAACAGAGCCATACCTACCACATTACCCTTATCAATTTCATGCCTAATGTAGTCGGTCATGTAAATGAGACAAGTATCAGTGGAGAAACCATTTCTAAAACCAGACTGGAATTTATACAACAGCTTATTTTCTTTAAAATATGTTTCAACTTGGTCATAAACTACATTTTCAAGTATCTTGGAAACTACATTTAAAATTGACACAGGCCTGTAGTTACCTACAGAAAGTTTATCATTCTTTTTAAAAAGGGGACAACTCTAGCAGTCTTAAAATCATCAGGAACTACAGCTTGGATAAGAGACAAGTTGACAATGTGGGTTATAGGACCTGCAATTATAGGTGACCCATCCCTGATAAACCGGGAAGGTATACCATCTTAGCCAGTGGCTTTGCTAGCACTTAGTGAATTTAAGTATTTAAAAACATTGCTTTCACACAAAAGAGAAAAAGAAAAACTATTAGGATAAACACCTCTTTCAGCATAAAATGAGTTTACAAAAACCTGACCAAATCTGTTTACACATTAAGGAAGTTTTTTAACAAGTTTACGAGCAACAGTTGTAGCAACAGGACTTTATCAAAAATAAAATTCTAATTACCTCCCTTTATTTACATGAAATGTTAAATTCGGTAATATCTTTACATATAATGCTTTACAAATAACGCTTTTCAATATTCATAAATATTCATTTGAGCACT